AAAAAAAAAAAAAAAGGACCAAACCCGAAAGGGGTATCGATAAGCCCAAACGTTATTGATTTTCGGGTTTTGAAAAAAGTGGAACCGGGTCCTTGATGGAACCGGGTTTCGATCCCCATCCCTAATCATAGCGCTGGACGATCCGGCCAAAATTTATATCATGATTTGTTTGGATAAAACATAACTTGACATTTATTCGACAATTATTTTATCCAGTTAATCAAAAATCCTTAAATGTAGGATTTTAGCAGTATTTCCCTAAAAAAACAAAACACCTCAAACAACAAATAAAATCTGTAACGTCAGTCGGGGATAAATGCTGTAATTACAGACTGTAACGTAAATGATGTATCTGAAATGTATAACATTGAAGTGCAGCAGAAAAAAAATAAAGTAAAACAAAAAAGAAAAATCAAACCAAAAAGGAAAAAAAAAAGCGTCGGTCCAGTAAAACCAACCCTTACAGCCAAAGCTGGAAATCAGCAGGAGTGATAAGGTTTGTAAGGCCGACTCACCCTCAGAGGCATGACTTCGTTGGTGACGAGGAAGAGGAGCAAATGGAAGTCTGAGACGATGTTCAGGAATGACACAGAGGAGCACTGGGACAGGTACGTGGCTAAACTGTGGAAATCCTGTAAAAAAAAAAACAAACAAAAAAAAACATTGAGCTTCACTAAGAACGTCCCTTTGAGGGTTTCCATATTTGGAGCTTTGAGCACAGCCAGGCTCTGAGGAGATGAGAAAACAATCAGAGCTGGGAAGGAAACTTAAAAACGACTTACTTGTGTTTCTCCGAGGATGTCGCGATTTTCAATCGGGAAGCGTTGTGTGGATGTAAAGGTGTACTGAGGATCCTTTGGGAAAGTCGTGGTTATCTAAAAAAATATATATTTTCAAATGCATTTTAAAAAGTAACCTTAAAGTAATCAGATGGACAAGATGAGTAACAAGCAGACTCACGTCTATGATTAGGTACTCGACAGGAAGAGGCCGAGCCAGAAACGTGACGTCATTCCCAAACTTATCTTTATCCTGTTGGGGGAAAAAAAACAAAAAAAAAAAAAACAGATAAACAAAAATATACCTAACTGGAACTAATGTGTCTGATTACTGTAAATCCGCTGCAGCACTTTATTTCCACAGTGAGCGGCAGAGTCTCACCTTGTAGAAAACGTCGGGAACATATTGCTCCGGGCTGGACTCTTTGGCGTAGCCGAGCTCAGGGGCGTCTTTACAGGGCAGCAGGCATTCATCTCTGACCAGAGCCATGCACTGATTGGATACCTGGTAACCTTCAAAGTGGACCTGATTATCTGGACCTCCTGCACACAGAACATGCAAACAAAAACACTGATCTGACCTCTGTAATAGACCTTTAAAATAAAATTAAAAACAATAAAAAATATGCAAGTCAGGTGATAATTTTCAGAAGAACCAAACAGAAATCAATATTTTTGGTTTTCTTTCACTACTGAGAGCAGAGCAGCACCACAAGCTGAGCTCCTCTGCTTAGCTTCACATGCTAGCTAACTTTGAAGTATGACAAACAGAAGCACAGCAATCAGTAACATGGAGTAGAAACCCCACCACCCCAGGACATTTACTGTATATGAAATAACATGCATTGAAGGATTTGTTTGTGATTTATCACCATAAAAAGAAAAAAAAAAAAAAACTTTATCAAGCAGTCAACCTGTAGCAACGACGGTCACAAACTTGGATCCAAAGAACCCGTCTCTAGAAAGCTTGCAGGGGTTTGAGTGTTGGTTCTGGAAATATCCAGCCGTGATGCACTCCTCAGCGCTCAGATAAAAGGAGTCCTAAGAGACGAGTGAGAACTTTTTAATCACAGAGGAAAACAGCATCATAGTGACACTGTTGACCTTTAACCTCACCTGGTTTCTTGAGTAGCGGACGGTTCCTATCCTGGTATCCTCAGACAGCAGGTCTGTGAAGATCCAGCCCACCTACAAAACACAGAGAGAAAAACTATAACAACTCCTTTGTTATCTTAGACCAAATAATGTGCATGCAGAGATGAAAAAATTATAAATAAAGCGTGAAAACATTTGTTGGAATCTTTAAATCTACGCAACAAGACTTGCTCCATGTTAATGAGTCTGAAAATGAATCTACAGCTTCAGCAGAATAAAAAAACTCAATGAATACAAATGAAAACATTTTATTTGCAGTAATGCTGAGAGACAAAGACAATAAATCTGGTTTGGCAGGTTAGTCTGGCATTTACGTGCATTTAGAGCAACCATAAATCTGCCTTGATGCCGAAGACCGATGTTGCATGTCTGTGAAAACCACATCTGATCCACAGAGCATACAGCAGGGGAAGCAGACCCACCTTGCAGAGCCCCAGTTTTGCAGCGATTTCATCTACAGCTGCAGCTTTGGGATCCTCCAACAGTTCCAGACTGTTCTGGGTCGCAGTCTGACAGATCACAAAATGATAAGTTAAACCTTCTGCATTAATATGAGGGAAAACATTAGAGAATTAGGTTAGTTTGGGAAGATCTGTGGGGCTTTCATCACCTGTGGGGGCTCATAGATGGCAGCAACCTCAGCTCGGATTCCCAGCGGGATGTCTGTGTGCTCCGTGTACCGTCCATACAAGTAACCCATCCTCTGACTGCCCGTTTTCCTCCAGAAGTCCAAGAAGCGGTCGGCGATGGTGTGATTCTCAAACATGATGTTGTCGACATGTCTGTATTTCTGTGAGGAGCAGAGAAGCAGTAGTTGCTATTATGCAATGTGCACACCAAACACGATTGAAACAGCAGGTTTACATGAAGGGTCAATGGTTGAAGCACATCACAAGGTCCTGCAGCAGCAGGAGCAACGCATCTGGACGCATGAGCAGCTGAAGTAGCGCCTCAGGAGCTTTTAAGCTTCTGAGGCGTATGGCGTGCTTCACAAGCAACAGTTGCTGGGGTTGGAAAATTTTATTTCTGCTGCTTGATGCGCCACATCTACCAGTCAGAGAAGCTGATCTGGGAGCTGACAGGGAGACAGACACAGCACTGCTGATGCAGATCGCTATGATCACTCCCCTGAAACAGTTTATTAACGCCTAAATTAACTTAAAATGTCGAAACCTGCCTGCAAAATATGTTTGCTTTTATTATTCCGGTGCGTTCAGTTTGTACCCCAAACAAAACCGCCAACATCTACTTCCAGCTGCAACCAACACTAGCTGCTGCTGGGAATATATTAAAACTACCTTTTACCCACTTATAAGAGTAAATATAGCAAAGCAGCTCTCTGCCATTGAGCACAGGAGCAGCAGAAGCATCAGACACATCTGGACACACTTTACAGAACGCGCTTCAGGAGCTTTAAGGATGCTCTTGATGTGCGCCTGACCTTAATGCGGACACGCTTCAAAAATGAAGCAGCAGGCACTTTTTGCTGTCCAAAGCGCATCTGGTGTGAACTTAGCATTAGGGTTTGGATTGTATGCGAATAGCTAACCTGCCCAATATTCTAGAGTTTTTACATTTCTCTAAGGTTGCGATTAAGTTTAGAATCTGTGGTATTAGATGAAACGATTCAGGATCAGCTTCCCATGCCTCGCACACTGTAGAATAATTGATCTGATCTCAAGTTAATTGAGGCACGTTAAAGGTATATAATAATATCCTCAGGAAAAAAACCTTGACAACTTTGTCACAAATGTCCCACATTTTTCCAAATGATACTAAAACTATCACCATAAAATCCAATAAACCTATCAGATATTTCTATGCTACAACATGCAGATGCTTCCTGCACTAATCTAGATGGACCAGCTCAGCATGCTAAAAGCTGACTAAACCCCACTCATCTCTGATTAACGGGCACTTAGATAATTGGCCTTTTGTGGGAAGGCATGGAGATGGAATATTTTCCCACATATGGCCCGTTAATTCACAAATATGACAAACACCAACGAGATATGTTTGAGTGAAGATTTACAAAGCGACAGCTTCATCATATGTCTACATTAGTGAAGGAAATATCAACACAGCAGCTTCTTTAGTAGTTAAAACAGACTCTTGATTTGGTAGAAATAAAAAAAAGGAAAATGTTGGTTTATTGATACTAAAAAAGTGTTTTGTTCCTTCCAGCTGCTATTGTCTAGTGAGTGTTATGAACCTAATTAATATTATTGGATTTAGGTTTTCCTTGGGATGTGGAGAGAACCACGGAGCCGCACCTGTCTGTTCAGAGTGATGGCGCTGGGCTGGCACTTGGTGCAGATTCCCTCAGGCCAGGGAGGATGACCCTCACATCCTGACTTTATCTTACAGCTGATGTTCTCCAGAGCTGCAAACTTCCCTCTGTTAGCATCCGGAAAGAGTTAGTCTCTTACACAGAGATTCTTAACATATCTGCTGGTAGAATTAAAACCAGACGCCTTACTTATCAGCTCCACCGGTCAGTTTGCGAAGATACGCGTGGAAAGACATGTGCTTCACCGGCGGGTCCAGGTGGTTCAGATAGTCTTCGTCAAAAAGCTGGAAAAGACAGAAGCTGCATCCTTCAGCATTTTGCTTGTTAACATTTTTATCCCATCAGTTTTATTATGAAAGACTGGCTGTTACCTCTAACGGTACACAGTGCACGCATTTTCCAAGGGCACCATGACGACATCTGGAACAAAACGGAGATTTATGAGCTTTTCCACATCTGCTTTTGATTTAAATGTTTGCGGCCGTTCCGTCGGTCTTACAGCTGGGGGTCTTTGTTCCTGTAGATCTTGCCGTCCTGCTTGGCCAGATACTGATCTATCTCATCCTCCTGTACCTGTGGTGCAGAGGATGACCGAGGGATTAACGAGGACGAAGAGGAGGATGAAGAGGAGGATGATATAGACGGCAGGGATGAAGATGAGTGCGAGGTCGCCGTGTCCATTCCTTCCCCTGAAGAGGAGGAGGACGCAGAGGGGAACAGAAACAACATGTCCCCATGCCTGCAAGGAAAACATAAAAGTAGCATTGAAACAAAAAAAGAAACAGCAAAAAAAAAAAATCTCCATAAAGAAAACCCTACCAGTGGCTGCATTTAATTTATTTTATGAATCTAATTTAATTGTATTTAGAAACACATAAAATAAAACCAACATTTCCTGCACAAAAAGTTTGACAGTAATACATCTATTGATATCTAATAAAAAATTATTAATCTAAGCTTCAGGAAAAATGACACTCAAGGGTAGAAAAAAAAAAGCTCTGTCCAAATACTGTCTATACTTTGTGTTCAGAATCTGAATGAATTGACTCTGGATAGATTTAGCCACTAGGAGTGCTAGTCCTATAACATCCAGGTTTATCACCCCTGAAAGCCACTGGCAACACAGCACTGTCACAAATTCAACTAACTCCCTCTCTGTGTTTTGGAATCTGCTAGCAGACGACGTTGGACCAATAGATTAACAAGACGTGGATTTAATCATAAAGACAAAGACACGTTCATCCCTCTGGATTAAATCCTACATCAGAGAACTAAACCATATTTGATCAGTCAAGTGTCTTCTCTGTTTGTTTCTAAACAACTTTTAGCGTAGTTGGCACTCAGGTTTAAGGTGAGCTCAGACTGCCATAAACTGGTACAGTATACAGTAATGGATCCGACCCTCTTTAGTAACACGGGCAAGTTTTTAACAAGAACAGCAAGTGCTTTTTATCAACCTGATAAATCATGTAATATATCTTAAACTGAGTGATGCTCCAAAGTGTTACTTAAAATGTAGTAGCCTATACTGCTATACAAGTAGTTCTCTGTGAGATTCAAAACATTGTATTGTGAGGACAACAAAGTTAAAGTAAGTTTGGATCTTGTTTCGCTCCACTTGTGAGCAGAAAATTCAAAGATCCAAAGTCCAACTATAGTCTGAATGCTGTAGTGGGATTTTCTGAAAAGAATCTGAATCAAGCATAAATGAAATCCAGATAAAGGTTTGTTAGAAATAAACAGGAGCATAATAAATAATACATAATTATGACACATTATTACTAATATTTACTATTATTAATACAAAATAATTAACTAAATACAATTTATAAGCGACATAGTGACTGATGCAAAAGCTCTTCTTAACAATACAGCCAATCAGGCAATCAATCTAAATGCTCCAGTCGGCCCTTGAGGGCCGCTGTCCTGCAGGTTTTACAGGTTTACCTGCTGCAGCACAGCTGTTTTCCATTGCTAGCTGATTAACAGGCTTTTGCTGAACCTCAATAATGAGAATCAGCTGTGCTGAAGCAGGGAGACGCAACTTTGTGCAGCCCTAATATACAGTAACATCATTAAAAAAAATCTTAAAAAATGATAAATGTTGATATTGCTAATACCTTTATTTGAACTCATTTTTTAATTTCTAATTTTAGTACTTGTTTATCTTCTGTATTTAGATTTCAGCTCATCATAAGCTTTCCTTAAAAAACAACATTTGATTTCCTTGAACTTACTTGATCTTTAGCAAGCTGAGTGTTTTGTTCTGGGACAGAATCTCTCCGGTCTTGTTGCGGTTCAGATAAACCGAAAAGCCATTGGAATTAAACCCAAACTCTTTGGCCACCTGTAGGAGACAATAACAGTTACCAAACCTATCAAAGGTAAAACTACAACCTCTAAATATTTCCTGAACAATAACACCAAATAGTATTTGTTCAATAAAGGATTAATATTAGTCACTGCAGATCAGTAGAGAGATTGTTGAGATGAAACCTCCTACAGTCTCTGTCACAGCAAGATTTAGACCAGCGTATGCCTGATGTATGAAAAATCTGACAAAAAAAATACTGGCATCCTTTGGGTAAGTTAAAGTACATTTTGTATAACTTATTAGCCCGCTAAAGCACGTTGACATACGGCGAGAAATTTTGAGCCCAACATATGCCGTCGAATGCTCATACGCGGCTTCTAGCTTATGCAAAACCTATGAGTAACTTGTGCATAACTGATGCGTAACTTATCAATAACTTATCTCCAACACATTTCAACGTATCTGACGTGTTCCAGACAACCGCTGAACGTGTTTCTAACTTAGAGCTACTGTATAATGGCGTATTTGCAGCGTTTTGGTTTCAAAGGTGGTTCTCCTCCAGACTGCATCCCCATCATAGGGTGAGTGTGATGGATCCTCGCTGCGTTCACGCCCACGACCAACAAACTTCCTAGCAGGCATGATGCCGAATCTGCTGATACTACAAACTTTCTTTCTTTTTATTTATTCTTTTTTGGCAGGCGGTAAACAGCAGCTAGGTTTATACCGTGATCAAAGAAATCTTTTTATACAGGCCAAGCACCTCTGGGTACATTGCTGCTCCCCTCAGGACATTGGCTTCTGCATCATTTCATTGGCATTACGCTGCCTTGCATTATGCATAGGTTAGGCTGCCGTTGGACATACGCTCTGGACTCGTTATGAGTACCCTATGTATACGCCATAAATTAAAAAAATACATAGAAAGTTTAGCGTATGCCAGCGTTTTAGGAGATTCTGGGACCTCGAGAATACGCTATCTAAATCATCAAGGTGTGATAGGGCCCTAACCGACCGTCTCCCAGTGAAATCAGAGGATGGGTAGAGAATAAAGGGTCTGTTCTATAGAACGCTATGGGCCCCATCACTAGTGAAACAAAGCCAGGCTGCAGCTGGCTGGATCACAATGCTTTACATAACAGCCACAAATGCCTGATCTCGATCAATCTGATCTTAAGATGCAAACGGATATTCTAACATGTTTATCATAGAATTCATTAGAAGCGTCCCTACAAGAAATGAATTCAATATTTTTAATCTTTAAAGTGTGTCTCTAATCAAAGGGACACAACCTACATCCGCCATAATTTCAGCAGCAATCCCAGCGCCGACTCTGCTCATAAGTTTCAGGTTGTTCTTCTGGCAGGTGATCAGCAGGAAACTGAAACCTGCTCCTTCCATTGATCTGAAGGCTGCGGCATCCTGCAGCCCTACAGATACATGCATTTTTGATGAGGCTCAGACGCAACGCCCTGCAGGAGTTTGATCTATTTTAGGTGGATGCTTCAAACACAGCTATAATTATTACTCAAAGTATTTAGGTTAAGCTCATGAACAAAAATGAGGCACAAGCGAAACTATATTAAATGACCACATAAGTCATGAAAAGAAAAGCCTGTCAAACCGCTACGAAGACAAGCATGGAAATATTCTGATTGGAAATTTCCACACAGGCCACTGTCATTAGTGGAAGCCAGGAGGGCTCAGAGAAGCAGCACAGGACTGACAAGCCAAACCAGAGAAAAGCTAAGAAAAACAAAACAAGTAGAGCTTGCACTTCTTTTCTTGATGGGTTTTTTATCTTTATGGTAAGAAGAAAGGAGAATCTGTGTTTTTGTAAAATGCCAAAACTAATAACTGCCAGGATTATCACTGTCCCGCTGTGTCAGTGCAAAAATTCTCCTTACAAAGAAGGGCTCTAAATACAGAATCAAAAACCACTCTGTCAATCCTGGCATCACTAAGGCTGAAAGCAATGCTTTTGACACAATGGAACGTTGTTTACATTTGCAGATACAGTCTGTTTGGATAACAAAACCCAGAAACAATTGGGAGTTAAGAAAAACAACAACATACTAAAAAGCTGTCCGCATGCGGTTTAAACCTCTTAAGCTCCAGACCGGACGAATCACAACGCAGGAGGTTGAAGTTTACGCTATTTAGTGTCAGAGTCACCTGTAATGTGACAGCACTTAACTGCAGCCTTAACAGTCCAGATTGCAGCAAGAGCAGAGGTCCTTATTATGTCCTGAATGAACTGGATATATCTTTTAACATTTTAATAAGTGGCTGTTGTGAAAGATTTTCTTTTTTTTTTTTTAATATACGTTTTTCTTTAACATCTTTTGTAATCTGATTAACAATAACCTGTTTTCTGCCTTTATAATCGGCTGTAACNGGCTCTAAATACAGAATCAAAAACCACTCTGTCAATCCTGGCATCACTAAGGCTGAAAGCAATGCTCTGATTTGACACAATGGAACGTTGTTTACATTTACATTTGCATTTCTGCCTTTATAATCGGCTGTAACAGCTTCTTAAGCACAGCTTCAGTCAGTCTGTCTGTACAGCTAGCCAATATGGCCTATTTTTGGTTTAAATTATAGAAATGAGAACAACTGATACACAAAACCTATCCACTAATAATAATAATCAACACATTTTCCGCAGGTTTCAGGTCTATTTTTACTTTAGCACATTTGCATGAGTACTTGGGGACTCTTTATAGCTGCTATAATTAATGATAATTTAATGTAAGTTTTGTATGATCTACACAAACTGTAAGCTAATGTTGTTATGTCAGCTAAATAAAAACTACCCATCAGTACAAGTATTCTCCAATTTATTTTAATTTGATGAGAGGTTATGATCTCATATATCAAATAGGATTAAACTGGCCAAAATATTGTTCAGACTGGAACCCAGAGTGTGATAAAAATCTAGATTCTTATTTTCATGTTCATAAATAATAAATCCTTAACACTTATGTCTGTTATGTTGTAAATAAAGGCAGTTTAGTTGATGGGAGAAAAAAAAATACGAATAAAATGTAAATAAGCTGAAACAAAGCAAGGCTGATCACTTTGTATAGTTTTGAATACAGTGGAATCTGCTTATAGTGATCACGGATATAGTAATCAACCGCTTATAGTGTTCAAAATGCTTGGGACAGAATCATTTCTGTACAAATGCTGTTTAAATAATTTGTTTCTAGTAATCAAGAAATCTGCTTATAGTGTTCATTTTTGGCCATTTTATGAATGTAAACATGTGCAAAAATAATTAATAAGTGGATCGAAAGTGATGACGGCGCTCTGGTGTCATCGTGGAGGTACAAGAGCACTTTGGTGCAGGTAGCAGTGTAGGAATGCAGTTTGCATTTTAAAAGACTGGTCTCTTGCATGTTGGTTTCAAAAACTTTGACCTTTTACATCATTCAAGAAGTGACCTCGGTGTTGGAGAACACTCTGATCCAGGGAACCCTGGATAGCCTATGCAGTTATCTTTAATGATGTTGTTCTATGAAACTGTTTCTTTCAAACTTCAGACTTGTTTAAAAAAAATGCACCGGCAGCACCAGGCTACCAGAGTTATGTCTGCTCACAGCACAGTATACTGTAAATAAACTTGCATGCCTGGTACTGTAATAAAATTCAGTAAATGCGGAAGCTATCCGTTTCATTTCATTTTTCTCTTTGAAAGAACACACAAATGGCATTTAGATGATATCCTGAATGAAAAATAAGTGAAATATTAGGAAATTTAGATATAGTAATCAACCGTTTGTAGTGTTCAAATTGGTTCTGGACCAATATGATCACTATAAGTGGATTCCACTGTAGTAGACCATACTACACAGATAATCCCACCGTGGCAGTCCTTTGTATCTGCATTTTGTACCTTTTTCAGAAAAGCAGCTGCCGTCTCTCTTTTGGTAGAAGGAATTTTCTTCATCCCATCTGGAGACTGCACCCTGATGATCTGCATTATAAAACATAAAGGTTAGTTGATGGAGTGCTTATACACACACACATATATATATATATATATATATATATATATATATATATATAATCTCATCTACAATTGTTTATTTACACAAGCACCCCCTTTTCTATAGGATTCCCCACATCATTTGGAAAAACATGGAGTTTTCTCCCCCTCAGCACAGAGGGGTCATGAATTTATGTCAACAGTGACAATGCAAAAAAATACATAATTTGTGTTAATGGATTTTTTTGTATTGTTCATGAAACCATCTCGGGATTATAAACACGACATTGTCATAAAATTACACTACTTCTGTTTCTGTTCATCTGCGCTGTTTCAATTTAAACTAATACATCAGTTAGCTTCCATTAAATCCATCAAGAAGATTTCTGGTAAATTACAATTAAAGAAGGTGAATACTTAAAGCTGAGAGTGGATTGTATTTTAAAAATATCTATGTTATTCGAAGCTTTTGTGTGAACAATGGTGATTTATTTTTACTCGGATGTCCTAAATGGAGCTATGAGCTAAGTTTAGGCAGTAAGCTGAGGAGGCCGCAGCCCCTCTGCTAGCGTTAGCTGACGGAGCTAATTCTGCTGCCTCATCGTTCGGGACTCTAACCATTAAACATACCAAGCCGTTCGGATACTTACAATATTATCCCCCATGACGCCCAGCTCGGAGCTCCAGGTGGACACCGTTGAGCTGCGATACAGTTGCTGCAAAAGTCACGAAGCGTCACTCAGTAGCAGTCAGCAAAACTCCAAACACCGGTGTTACACACATTGAAGCCCGACTGTTTACGACAAAATACAGCGTTGCACTTTCCGACCACAGCGATGACACCGCCATCTTGGACAGGGAAAATCTGACTGAGAAGTGATACGAGCATCCTGTTTTCAACGTCTTTTTCTGTTTTATTCTACAGCTAGAAGAGGTGTATTATCTTAATCAAAACAGTAACAAGTTTCCGTACACAAAGTTGTTTGTTGTCTAGTCTACTATGGACCTCTTTTGTGTCTGAAATAAAGATTGATTGATTGATCTAGAAGACAGGAATTGTTCTTGATTCTGCTGGTCTATAGGAAGATATTTTGACTATCT